CTTGTATGAGTTAAGAGGGTTTTTTTTTTGTTTGTTGGGGGTTTTTAAGTAAATTATTCTAATAATATAGAAAGCAAACAAAAAGATGTTTTCTGTATTGTTATTCCATTGACCATGCCACCCTATAACAGTATGATTCATGCCATCTCTTTTTTTTTTTTCTTCATTTTTTTTTGCCTCTTGCTTAAAGTCAGGCGCTGTGTGAAATTAAACGCCCCAGATAACGGCTACATCAAGTGTTCAGGTGATGGAAATAACTATGGTGCTACGTGTGAGTTCTCCTGCATTGGTGGCTACGAGCTGCAAGGAAGCCCAGCTAGAGTATGCCAGTACAATTTGGGGTGGTCAGGAGTGGAGCCAACCTGTGCACGTAAGTGAGTATTTCACCACCTTACCAGAAGGGCTGCCAGTGCAGTGGTTCTCCTGGCAGTCAGAATTTGGGAAGCAGGTATGGGGTGGAATAACAGCTGCAAACTTTAATGCCCTAGAGGTAAGAAACCTGACATCTTTGTCTCCTCTGCCAATCTGCACTTACAGCTGAAGCCTTTGCCACCATTGGCTGCTGTTTCCTGGGATGATGATGGTACCTCACAACTGACAGTGTGTTTTAGCTGAAAGCTCTGTACAAAACTTCACATTCTGGAGTCAATCCATCTTGCAAGCCAGAACAGCTTAAGATAAAAATGTTGGCTTCAGTGAGGCCAGTATTTCACCCATATCTTCTTTATTATTATTGTCTGTTCCTGTGCTTCTGTTATCGAACAGTTCGTGCCTTTAGAAATAATGTGTTTTCAGTATACTCTGTAACTTTTGTTTTAAATGTAATTCTAGCCATGAATATTAATGTGAATGTGAGGACTGCAGCTGCACTTCTGGATCAATTTTATGAGAAGCGGAGACTGCTAATTATTTCAACTCCTACTGCAGCCAATTTCTTCTACAGGATGCAGTTGGGAATGCTGCAGGTAAAGTACAGTTTGCAAGGGGTGGAGGGCGGAAGGTGGGCAACTATTTTTTGCTTTAAAGAAAGAAAGACAGAAGAGGACAGGCTCCACCATTTGATATCAGTCTGCAAACTTCAGCTGTTATATTGCAGCCACTGGAGGGTCTGGCTGAAGCAGTAGTAATTGTTTATACATGGGTTTAAGTTTAAACATCTCCCCAATCTCTAATTTAGTTCCATTCTGGATTGTGCTGCCTCTGACTGATCATTTGCTGAATCCTAGGCAGTTCTGGCCCTCTTCCATCCTCCCCAAATTAATTTAATACTAACTTGTGCTCAATAATAATTCCCTAACTCAGCTGCTAAAGAAGCTGACAAAAAAACCCAAAAAACCATCGAGCACTTTGGTGGTTGCAGTTCATGCAAACCAGGCTTACAGACTTTGCAACTACAATGCAAGGAAGTGTGAATGGCTTCAGAAATAACCAGTGCACCAGCAAACAAGGGACCAGAGACCCAGCATATAAATCATCCAGAGTGCTGGATATAGTGCTAGAGTATTTTGTTCAAAAAAACCCCAAAACTTCTGGTAATTGTCCTTCTTATGTGTTGTAAATGTGATGCTCCTGTTGGGTTCTTGCTAGACTTACGGATAGATCTTCAGAAATGAATCTGTGTCTTCTTGGAAAGGAGCCAGTCCTGTATTCTTCCACAGCAGCAAGTACTTCTGTCTTGTGTCTTTTCTCACAGTTGTAACACAATTCAGTATGGATAGTCATTGGGATATAAACATGATGATGTTTTCAACTGCTAGCATTAAAAAAAAAAAAAAAAAGCTTTCTTTTCTACCATTAGACTAACTTGGCAAGAAAATTCAATATATTGATCAAAGTGAAATAGTTTAAAATACTAAATTTAATGGCTGTAGTGCTTTTCCCACTGCTTGACAGTGGTCAAACACGTTGGCATGAAAGAAAACTTTCTGCAGTAGATTTCATTTCACATACCTTGCTTTGATTGCCAAATTAGATCAGCTGCACAATGCTTAATATGCTGGCATCTTCTCACGTCATTACAGAGACAAGTTTGTGTTTCTCCTAGGTGGTCCCTGTGTGTTGTTTTTCTCAGAGTAGTTAAGAATCTGTCATTTAACATCCCCTGGAGTTATGAGGCTGTAGTTCTTTGCAGGCTTTTCAAAGTGTACTCTCATTTCAGTTTAAACCATCTCACTAACATAAGATCAGACTCTTTATGAACACATGCTGCATGTTCAAAACAACTCCCTGTTGTCTCACTGGTAATGAACACACCTCTTTCTTCTTTCAACCCTTCCAGCCAGCACAGTGTGGTTTAGACCTCCGACATGTTACTGTAGTGGAACTGGTTGGTGTCTTCCCAGCACAGATAGGAAGAATAGGTGTAAAGCTGCTGCCCCCATCACTCGCTCTCCAACTCAGGTAAAGCTCTTGCTACTGTTGTGCTTGCACCTTAGTATTTATGATGTATTGCTTTTGATTCCCTGCATCTGACTCTCTAAATATAGTCTACACTCATGTACATAGCTAGACACTAGAAGGCAGATGTTGATGATTTTGTTTTAGGATTAATTTGCTCTCTATCTATGCAATAGCTACTGCAAATTCATGGGCATTTGGTATGTATAAAATTAAGAGCACAGACTCCAGTTGAAGTCTGTGCCAGTCTTTCACATGTCATGTCTTCCCTGCCCCTTTGCTCAAACTGAGTGAATTTCTGAATTCATGTGAACCCCCTCTGTATCCCTTTGATCATGTTACAGGTCTGTATTTTTGGGTGCTGCCACTGAAAACACTTGAAGTGTGTCTGTATTTGTGCTGGAGTTGGTCTGATGCAGTCATGACAGGCTGCAGTCACTTTGCAAAGACAGCCTTGGAGCAGCCGCCAGTGCAGCCCCAAATGGCAGCAACAGCTCATCTTCTCTGCAGCGCTGCTGGTGGCTGTGGCCAGCCCAGAAGGGGAAGCAGTGGTTGCTCTTTGAAATACTGCCCATATCATTTCTAGATGTGGAACTTCAAAGGGGAAATTATCTCAGCCGCCCCAGCCTGACTGTAACATTCAGCAGTTTTGCTGAGGTGCCTAAACTGTTTTGACTTGGTTTTAGACTGGCAGGGGGTTGGCTTTCACTTGAAAGGGAGACTTCAAGTGTCAGTATTTCCTAGGGACAGGAGGATGACAAGAGCCAAAAGTGAAGGCCTGGTTGGCAGGGAAAGTAGTAATTATTTAGGAAAAAAGTCCAGGAGCATTTTAGGCAACATTTTCTGTGATATGCCTGAGGAAATTGAGCGAGTTTTAATTTGGGACAATAAAAAATGCTGACAAGTCAGAGACCTTTTTTTGGATTGCAAAAAATAAAAACATTTGTTCTCTATGAAAGCAAAGAGAGAGCTCAAAGAGCTTCTCTTATTCAAAAAAGTAAAAATACTTTTACTAAAGTTGAAATGTTTTTTCTTGTGGCTCTGTAGAAAATAATAAGCTCTCGTAACATCCCATTCCCTGCTCATCCCTCGCCACCCGCCCCCTGTAACATTTAATGGAGCTGTGTTTTGGAAATAGCTGGAAATATTTTGTTTCCAAAATAGCTGTGTTTTGGAAATAACCTGCCCTGCACTCAGTGAAAGTTAGTTTTCCATTTGATTTTTTCTTCCTCTGTTGTTACTGCAGTGTGTGAATTACAGCATTCCAGTTCTGGAAGGCACTTAAATCAAAATGAAATGCACCCTTAAGTATCTTGAATAAAGGTGCTGTACTGAATTGGCACTTGGTAAACTAACGAGCACAGGTACCCTAGTTAAAACTTTGGAAACCTCAGAAAGTTAGCATTTGCATTTGTAGAAAGTAAGCATTTTTCTTAAGTGAGATGAGACACAAGAGCAATGCATTTTTTTTATCACCATAGCTTAGCTGCAAACTTTATTTGAGTTTGAATTTAATAGCCAAGCTCCTTAATTGCAACCAGATGACACCTAGAACACTCAAACTTATTAGAAGGCTGAGGAAGGTAAATTTTGGTGCTTTGCACCTTACTGAAACCCCCCCCTCCCATAGACCCTCTTCTTCATGGCAGCTGTCCTGTCCTGAAACCATTCTGTCACAGCTGCCTTAATTTATTTTCCCCACACCAATGATATGGACTGACTGCATGTCTAAGGATCTTCTAACTCATTGCTCCCTTCAAGCAAAAAAACAAGAGAAAACCAAAGACACACTTTTGTTACTGTTGCACCTCCAGAGGAGCTCAAATGACCCTTTTTACCACTCGGAAGGAAAGGATTCTGCTGTGATTAGCAGCAGCTTTTGTTCTCCTAAATTGGAGTTACCATGAGGTAGATGGTTATCGGGAAGATAATGATGAAAACTGACTCTGAGTGTTTTGTCCTGCTTTTTCTCATTGTGGTTTTATACCACGTGGCAGCCAAGAAAGGGAATAGTCTACCTGTAACTCTAGCTCCATCACAATGATTTTCTTCAGGCAATGTATAGAGTACTTTTTTTGTCTTGTGGTTTTTTTCTCTGGTGATAGCAGTAGGTAATGGCATGTGCTATACTAACAATGGGAGGTCTGAGAAGAAGACAGAGCTGAGTTCAGTTACCTTGACCTTCCCCTAATGCAGAGGTACAGCCTCCAGCACATGGAGCTCCTCTCTGCTTGGACCCAACAAGCTGGTTCTGCCATTTATTAGTTTGAAGTTCCCAGGCAGTAGGGGACAGGCTTTAACAAGACGAGTTCCTTATTTTGCAGGCTGCTGCTGAGGATCCCCCATTACAATTTCAACATCGTGGTGATGGACAAGCACGGAATGGACAAGGAACGCTATCCTTTCCCAGCAACACCAGCTGAGCTGTTTGCACTTATTGACAATTTTCCCTTGAGAAAAGAAGAGATGAAACTGCAAGCAGAAATTGGTCAGTCATGTCCCTGACTCAGGATTGCAGGGCTTGCAGTTGTCGGTGAATGTTTTTAGTCCACATAATTCGCCACTTGGTGCTACACAAAGCATGGCTTTTTTAATCACTGATGTACAGATTTTTTGTGTGTATTGTTAAGTCTGTCCAGCTGTGTAGCTACTCTGCATAGAAGTATGCATGATGCTTTTTTGTACTTTCAGCCATCTTTAGACCAATGTGTATGTAGGATTACTGCCCAATGGAATTTCTTGTACAGAGAGTGAAGAACTGAGGCACGTTTCTGGGAGTTTATTTTGGATTTTTCATTCAGTGTAAAATTGAGGTTTCTTTCTTACTTTTTACAAGTTTACAAGTCTTTTTATTAATAAAATATTGTTTTGCAAACAGATAGTTGTCTAAAATTCCTCTTGGAGATGAAAGTTGATTGATTAATTCACAAGTTGGATCAAAACACGTCCCTGCAAACCATTATAACAGAGACGTTGGCCTCAGATTTAAAGTGTACAAGCAACCCAGTGGTGTACTTCAGTTCCACTAATAATATGATCGATCACAGACACAAAGCATAAGCCTAAGGCAATGCAGGTATCTGTTTTCAGCAGTAGTGAGGAGAAAATAGCTGCTAGCAGGAGTATGGAAGTAATTTGAGGAAGAAATAAGCTGAAGGAACAGGGAGCAGTGTAGGAAAGCGGCAGTAATTACTGAAGGCCATATACTGCAGTGCTTGATAGAAAAATATGCTCTTACCTGGTATGTTTCTCGCTTGTCATGTCCAGTGGACTGGGAGTAATAGATTTCTTTCCACTCTTCATCTTAAGAGATAGACCAGACTGTTGATTTGATGGCAGGGGAAACATTACCCCCAGGGCAGGGAAACTTCAGCAAGGATTTCTCATTTCCAGAGCTGTGAAAAATATTTGTTTGCAAGTCATCACTTACAAATTAGCAAAAAATTTCCCTGCTCAGTGAAAAGTGTTAGGAGGCAATCAAAAAAGGAAAGAGTTTTTTTATTGTTTTATTACAGCCCACAATCTTGCCAATCCACTGCAAAGAATACTCATTGTGGATGAAGAATGTAAGCATAAAAGGAGTGAAACTGAAGTTTTGAAGTGAAGTTGAATTGAATTGAAATGAAGCAGCCTTAGACACCTGCTTAGAGGATCTGATGCATAATTTGACAAGCCACTCAAAGCACAGCCCTGGTTTTTCAGCCAAATACTTGTTTCCCTTTGAATGTACAATAAATTGGTTAATTTTACCCTCTGGTGTCATCAGAGCAACAGTTTATCAGCAGCCTTAAAGCAATTCTTACCAAAGAACTGAGTCTCTCAAACCCTCTCAAAGCAGCAAATCTCTTAAAAAGGTTGATCCTGCAAGTGAATTAATGAGGGAATTAATATGAAGAGAGGTAAGTCAGCCCTGACAATAGCAAAAGCCAATTTGTGGACTGAAGTGTGCAGCCTCAAGGGGTGGAGGGGAGAGTGGTGGAAGGGTGGCATCTGAACAGGGTGATTACTTCTGGGAGTAGTAGGAGACTGTTACTGAACACCCAGAGCAGGCACAGAAGCGTGGCACGGCCGGTGACGAGTCTCTGCAGTGCTGATGCCAAAGGCAAAGAAGATCTGGATACACCCTGAACTCTGCAAGTCGTGGTGCCACATTTGCAAGGATGAGCAACCAGAGGGCAAGGAAGCCCTGACTGAGCTTTCCAAGTGTTGCTGTTAGGAATGAGATGCAAGGACAGGACTGGTGACAAAAGCAGAAATAGCATTTCTCTTTTGACCACACCAAAGAGAAAGTCAGTCCTGGACCCACAAAAGAGGATCAGGGAGGATGAGAGCCAGTGTGCTGATGGACACAGCTGTACCCCAAGTTGCCTTTCCTCTGCTGCCTGTGTGTAACCCTGGTGGTTAAGAAAACAAGACATGGCTGGGCACACCAAATTGCTTCATGTCTCATGAGTCACACATGGAAGAGCCGGCCTGAGGACACATCCATACACATACTGCTGTGGCCACAGTTCTCTGGCTCAGGTATGCATATGCTTATAGCATGAATGCACAGGCAGACAGATTCCTCCAGCTCACTTTCCTCATTCAAAAAGCACTTAAACTGATAAACTGATTTCCAATGATTTAAAATTTAAAAGGAAAAAAAAAAAAAACCTCTAGTGGGTCTGGGTTTTCTACTGTGTTGCTGCAATTCCAATCTGCTGCTGCTCCATTTTGCTTTAGGTACAGAGTTAGTGCATCTTTCATGACTGAGTGAACAGGAGTGTGGCTTTGTGATTGCTAGAATTGGGAAAGTGATTGCAGTGACTAGGCTGTTCCAGGAAATTGAATTAAGTGGAGGAGAGTGCATGAGTGATTGGATTACTAGTTACACACAGAACATCTATTAAAAATCTTGTGATTAAGAAAAGCTGCTCTTGATTAGTAATATAAGGTTTCTGGCATTTTCTGTTGTACATTTTTGTGGGGAGGAATGGAACAGTGAAAAACATCATGTGCCATCTCTGATTTGCAGTCAA